ATTCCTTTGGAAACTTTCTTTATCTCGACCCCTCCCAAGATGTATGTTGGCAATCATACTCCAAGTATACGGCCCACTGATACACATCTGAAGGGTCTCATGACTGAGTTTTTACGAGACAGTAATAAATGACCTTTTCCTAACAATAGCTAGCCCCTCGAGGTCCAGGGAACCTTGTTTCCAAATTACCTTCGAGATTTATGCTATCCCTAACCCCTTCCCAACCTGAAGGTATATAATCAGTCACTCCTCACAACCCCAGGGCAGCTCTTTCTGCCCACGGGTCCTGTCCCCGTGCTTTAATAAAACCACCTTTTTGCACCGAAGACGTCTCAAGAATTCTTTCTTGGCCGTCAGCTCTGAACCCCAGCACTTCAAACCACATCACTGTTTTCAAGAAAGTGAGCATTTAAGACGCAGACAAAAAAAAAATGTAATACGGGCAAATAATTTGACACATTGCATAAAATCCGTGCGTGAAGAGTCAGACCTACAATTTTCACTGTGGCAAAGTAGGTAAAGTAGAAAGTGGGGATGGAGCGGTTGTTTTCCTCATTTTCTACATTTCCTAAAATGCATCCATTGTCAAAGATGTATGTGGGAATAAGTTGACCTGATGGTTGTTAACATTACTAGGGCTGTTCGAATACCCAACACTACTACCCTGGGAAAGTGTGGGGTGAGACAGCCTGGGAAGAAGGGCAAGATGCTGAGCCGTGCATGCACGTGTGAAATAACAAACCGGTAAAAACACCGTGTTGAGGACTACAGTGTGGACATACCAGCTTCTGGCTGATAGCCACTCCCCTCTTTATGTCTCCACACAGATTGTTTAGGAAGCAGTCGACATCATATTTCAGAAAACTCTGCATGCAATATTGTATCTTGATTAGGATCCTGGTACACAAAAAGGACAGTAGCAGAGAAACTGGTGTCTTCCGGAAAAAGTTTTGCTAATGGTAACTAGTTTATAGTTCATAGTAATTTACCAAAGTTGATGTCTTGATTTGGACATCTGTTTCATGGCTGAGTTGTGGAAGTTAGGGCAAACTGGATGGAGGACAGTATTTCTGCAATGTTTTTGTAAATCTAAAATCATGCCAAATAAAAGTGTATTAAAAATAAATCCCAGTTCTGAAGTCTTACCTCCATAACATAGGGAGAAGCAAGGATCAGTCTGTGATTCAATCATTAGCCATCTGACTGGAGGACTTAGGCAGACAGTGGTTGAAGAAGTTGTCTTTTTTGAAGTTCTCTCCATCCCCCATTCAAGCCTTACCCCCCCAGACCCAGCCCAGCTCTGGACTCCCCCTTGCACAGCTGCTCCTGTGGTCCTGTATTGTTATTTAATGACATGTGAAGGCTGTCTTTGCCAGCCTTTTCTCTGACCCCAGATCTTTGCTTGTCTAACTCTGTTTCTATAAAAATACCTCCTACACTGAGGAGCATGCTGCCCTGCTCTCATCCATCTGTCTCCATTATACTAATCATCTTTTTTTAATGTCTTCCCAGATTTTAGCTCCATGTAAGTTACCTTGTTCACTCACTTGTTTACCTGATTAATATCTCTCTCTAAGCAGCAAGCTCCCTGGAAACAGGAACCTTGACTGTCTTGTTCACTGCCTGACCCCTGGAGCCCAAAATAGCACTTCACACAGAGTAGATATTTTTTTAAGTCCTAAATGAATATAGTTCTTGCAAGAAAGGTTTCTCCCTACCTTCTAGAAGCACTGCACCAATAATTGAAGAATTGTAGCAGTGCTCCCTAAAATCATCTCTCCTTTTCAGATCCATCAGTTCATGAAAGAAGACATTTCTTAAGCACCTGCCACCTGCTTAGTACAATCCTGAGAACCAGAGTCAAGACATCTGAAGGCAACATCCCCACTTATTTACAATAACATAGCACTTTTTAACTTCCTACACACTATAGAGTGGTTAACCCATAGCAAGTAGCATTTGAAAGTTCCTGGAAAATTACTTCAAGAGTCTTAATACGGTGGCTGGAGAGAGAGGCTCACTTATTTCTTTTTCAAATTCTAAGGAGTTTGTGAAATAGACGGTTTTCTTTCCCCCAGTGAAGTGAGACTTTTTAAAATTATTTGAATGGAAAGAAATTACACACAAATCTGCTTGTTATTATAGAAACACTTGACTAAGATTTAAGGATCTCAAATTGTTACTGGACCAAAGTGGGTCTGCTCTTTGGTGAGCTATAGACAGAAACTGCACCAGGTGATTGATTGCCTCACAATGTTTGTTACTTTATTTGTCGGATAATTTCCAAAGCGTGACTCCCTGAACAAGGGAAAGTGGGCTCCTTTCATTAGGGATTGGGATGCTATTCGGAGGGGAATTTCAACACTATACTGAGGCTGAGGTTAACTGTTGGTCACTTTGTAATTCATATGTGCAGGTGTCATCCTCAAATGTTTCTTTTTCCGTTTCAGCAGGTCATTAGTTAGTTTCTAGTTTCAACAGTTCATTAGTTAGTTTCTAGAAGCTAAGCCCAAGCTTCTAGGCGTGCCTTGAGTTCAGGAGGTCAGTCCTGAGGTCCCGGGGTCAGTCTTGAGTTCAAGGGATCAATTCCAAGTTCAGGGGGTCAAGGGGTCTCACAGGTGACAAAATACAATTGAAGGAACAGGTTGGGGGAAGTGTGATCCATAATACAAATATTTAAATAATACTTAAATAAAAGCAGCATCCCCGTTCCCTGCTGCTAGTGCAGTACATATGTGCAGAGAGTATGGAATCAGAGAGTATGGAATCCAACCCCATGCCCAGATGAGGGTGCTGCGCTGCCATGTGCCTTCCCCCCCACGGCATAGTTTACCACGGCTGTTTAATCTTCTACTCTCTCCATATGTCAACTCCATAAATTCCAAGAAGGTGAGCTGTGTGCATCTTACCCAGCATTCTATTCCCAGAACTGAGCACACACCTATCTCATACTCCTAACATAATTATGCTCAAAAAATAATTGCTAAATGAGCAAATAATTGATTAATGAATACCTTCTGGGGGAGGGGACATTTGCCATGGGGAGCTCAGGCAAGACAGTTTTAAAGAGTTAAGTAAACATATACTGAATAGATACCAAGATAGGCTCTAGCAGTGAGGGACAAAATAAATTTCAGAGGCACGTGTGATTAATTGCCACCTCCCCAAACTCTCACAGATGTTTTCTGAGATTTGAGCTAATGATACTGATTTATTTGCTAGACCTGGTCTTAGAAATTCACTGTTGTAAGTCTGGACTTTGAACTGCAAAGAAAGAGTGCAGATTTATTAAGGCAAAAGTCACAAGGTTATATAACTTGTTTCAAAGAATTATGATTACTACCACAGAGTTAAACTATCTAAGTATTGTCAATTTACCTAACAAGTGTTACATTATCTCTATTTCATTCCAACGTAGAAGACTATGTCCCAGTTGCAGTTGACAAAAGCCAAGAGTTCATGGTGTTCCAAGAATTGAAACAGGAGACATGCATAAGGCAGCTTCTCAGTATCCTCCAAAACCCTATTTTTAATGACTCTCTTAACAAAGCTTAACTTTGGAAACTTCTTTCACAACGTATGGACGAAATTTATGTATTTAGATTTTATTCAATTTTCCAAATAGTCCAGGATACAAAGAGGACAAGCACCTAAAATTGGAGACTCAAGAAGGCCCTCTGCTCGTCCTTGTTTCTTCAGTATCCTTTGTGGAAGCTAACGCTCCCAGGACCCGCAATGGCCCTAAAATGCTCTGCCAGCTCAGACACAACATGAACCTGGGATGGACCTCCGCTCCTCCAGAGGGCGCTGCAGAGAGCTGCCCCTGGCTCCCGGTTGCATACGCGCCGGAAGCACTTCCTCCCCAGATGCATTTTTTTTTTTTCCGCTCTACAGTGTTCAAGCGTTCCCAGTGGCGTATTTCCGGTCCGCCGAGGTGCGCACGTGCTACCGGGGAGGAAGTAACGTCAACCCGGGTAGCCGAGCTGTGGCGCCGCAGAGGAGTTGCTTCGCCGACAACATGTCGCATCTACCCATGAAACTCCTGCGCAAGAAGATCGATAAACGGAACCTCAAATTGCGCCAGCGAAACTTAAAGCTCCAGGGTGAGATGCGCGGGGACTGGGGGCAGGGGGCGCGGTTGCTGCGGGGGCCCACACCTGAGAACCCCTGCGGCCCGGAGGTGGAGCGGCCGCCTCCCCTGAGCACGTGTGCTTGTCGGGAGGGAAAGGCAGCCTGGCGAGGTCTCCAGTTGGCCCCGCGCGGGTGCCGCTCATCCCGTGCCCTGCCCCGGATCTTTCTGAGCTTCAGGGTTTCCTTACAGAGTCAGATCAGGAGCAGGCTGCCTGAGTTCCTTCCCAGGCCTCCAGCCGGGCGTCCTGCTAAACCAGCTTGTTTTACATCTCCCTCATTCCGACTCCCTCCCCACCTTCGCCTCCCACCTCATCCCCAACCTCC